AAATTCATACTACTCGTAGTACTACTTGTTTGTAGAATGGGCATTACGTGGTTATTCCACAGTAGTTGATTGTCTTCGACTCAAATGTTCATTGAAATTTCGGTTCTGACCCTAAGAAGTCATGTCACGGAGATTTAACTCCAAGTCCTGCACTGATTTATTTTTTAAATTATTCACCTGATATAATTAAAGAACCCTGTTCGTAATTATTGTTTAATTGCAGATTCAGTACAAGCAGCAGTCATAAAAATTTCGAAGGTGTTTGAGAACAGCAAATTCAGAAGACAAATAGTTTTTACATTATGTTTATGAAACTGTGTTTCATTTAATTAATCGAGTACCAAAAGCCAGGATGCACTAATTACAAGAACTTCAACGTTCGGATGATTAACTAAAACAACCTTTTAGCAAAGGGATAGCACACAATTTTTTGATTACAGAATCTCCCAAATGTCTATATAATATGTATCTAGTGAAGAATACTACGTTTGGATAAGAATCGAAAAGGTTCACGAGACAAATTGCCCGGAACTCGTCCTTGCAAAATAGTCAGTTAGAGTTGACGAATTTAGGCCCATTGTATTGTATTGTAAGAATGACCATGTCATGCTGCTATGGCAATGCTGCCTATAAGTTAAAAAATGGGGATGACCGAAGTTCGGCAACATTTATGGAAATAATTTTTGAAGCATGTTTTCTAAACCAGCAGGAGATCATTATCAGATGTCCGATTGCTGAATAGAACGTTGACAAGTGAGTTAAAAACTTTGTTAGGCAAATAACTGTTCGACGATATTAGACAAAGGAAGCAACCATCCTGTCTGGTCGACTCGAGATTTAAAGAGCGGAATAAGCAAAAAACAAACTTTGGGCATAGAATACAGCAAAATAAACAATTTTTTGCTTCATTATTAAGCCGTGAGCGGAATATGATAAGAGCAAATATATGTGATGTATTGTTTAGTCGTAGGATACCTTTAGTCAGCTGGTTCCCTTCAGCTGGAGATATGCTGCATAGTCACCGCTGGTTAAGTTTTCGAAAGTCAAGAGGTTTTATGTTTTTTAAATTCAAGAATAGGCCTTATTCCTGGAGGTCAGTGGCGCACAGAAACGTCTAATCAAACCTTGCGAAAGGGATGAATGAGTCCAGTTTTTTAAAGAAATCCATGTTATCTTAACCGATGATGACAGAAGACTAGCCACCCAAGCGGAACGGATATATGCGTCCTTATTTTTCAGTCTTATGAGATTTTTAGGCAGAGGCAATGACCACACACCAATTCAGGCGTGAAAATCCGGACGTGAACCAACTGTCGAACCGTTCGCCACATCAGGTGGCCTACTACCAAGCTGAGTGTACAAATCTAACAGTTTGACCGGCATGAAGATAATTCCCCACTGCGCTCGACAGAGGTATGAAGGCAGGCATAGTGATTTACGCGTACATTGGTTTATAGTGGTAGCAGACTTGCACAGCCTTCACCGCACTCTGTCCCTCCCCCTCTGAGCTCGGTATCAAGCATATCCAAATATCTGAAAGCAGGGAAGGTTGCAGGTGACTGGTACGACCAAATCTAACACCGCACCCTCTGGTTCACAGTAAACCATTGACCTGGCCTTCAACTGAGTACAACAATGAGGTGGACGGCAAGGATACCAATTGACGCGACGTGGGCCGGCAACTGGGTCTCCACCAAACGCCGGATTTTTCATTTGTCATGGTACACATTGGGATAACTTCTGCCAAAATGCAATACCGGCCAGATTTTGATCCATCGTATCGACCGAGTTGTACTTTTTGGAGCTCTTTACAGCAGAGAGCATAACCGTAAAATAATCGCTCCCATCAATTATCGTCAAGGCATACAGGGATGAAGAACGAACATTGCACGAAGAGCCAGAGGTACCACTTAGTTCCACGTTACGCACTGGTTACGTGAACATCAGCATAATGCACATTTTCATGAAAGCAATGAAGACGAGTTTTTGCCAGGCAGGTGAGAGGCATTCCGCGGTGGACGCCAATTTATTCCTTTCGACAAGCTATCTGAGGAAGACAGTGCTTTCTCTATTTGCACAGTGTTTTAGTAGGCAGATCTAACATTTATTTCTGCAATCTTTATTTTTTGGCGAGGACGCATTACATACACTCCTCATTCCCTCTTGCAACGATTCTCTACGAATACCATATGCAATAATGCATTCTAGGGTCCTTTTCCATTCTGCTTTCTGAATATCACCCCTCTAAGCCTGATCATTAAAGCTGGGTCGATTTTCGCATTAAAAAGGTTTTTTTCCTAATGCGGCCCATGTTTCACTATATAGCGCTGCACCCTATATTGTCTCATCACATTGCTCATACACCCTTGAAATGCTTACAGTTTTTGTCAAAGTTTCTCTTATTCTAACAATTTCGGGAGATTTATATACGCTGCTCTAAACACATCGTTTTTTCGTAAAAATCGGTTCCAGAAAACATTTAGGTCATCATTTTATGGGATTTCATGAAAAATGCAGAAAAATATCCTTATTTCTAATTTTGTTTAATGAGAAAGTTACACTTTTTGTGACTTGTGATTTACAGGCATTTTGATAACAATTTTCAATCTTAAGGTAATATGATAGTGTGCTTTACTCTTTATTAGTCCATATACTGCGCTCGGCTGTATTACTGCGCGGTTCTTGAGAAATATGTTAAGACATTTTCGTCAATGATTATATGGGTCTGCTAGGCTACTGAATTTAAATAAGCAGGTACATTTTATTATCATTACGTGCCCACGACCAGCTAATGAAAACATGCTTCTGATTGTAAAAAAGTCGACACATTTTAGCACCTTCTATTATTCAAAAAATAACAGAATTCTAGTACCGTCACTATGTAACGCGTAACTGCAGCTCCGTATTTTTTTTTCAATAATAAAATACGATTATCAAGGTTGCACTCCGATGGACGTTTTTCAATCTAAGCATAATTTGATGTTTTCATGAAAAGTAAATTCTAATTAGAAGGAAGAACATGATTACCGTGCATGCTCATGTAGTCTAAACAAAGACATAGAACGAGGTGAAGAGTGTTAGCACGAATATGAAAAAATAGCAAGAGTGCGACTTCCTATGAGGGCCTTAGCTCATAAATATGCGAGTGCTCGTTTCACGTGAGTCGGCTCATAGTTTATGCGGAGCTACATTTATGGGCTCACGACGTCATCGCGTCCGACGTCAAGCGTAGAGCTTATTTTATTAGCCATCTCAGGGTCAGTGCTAGTCATACGCGCAGTGCCAGAACCAATTACCCTTCGTTCTTGTCGTTTCAGCGCAATGTTGGTTTAGGCACTCTAGTGCGTCCGCCCAAGCTATCAGTTTTCTTTGTCGAATTAAAACAATAAGATTTGAATGCCCACCTTGGCAGTCTGTAATGGCAACGTTTTCTTTAGCCAGGTTTGCGAAATACAGCATGTTTGATTCAAAAAGTGTTACTTGGCAAAT